AAACCTCTTAACAAAGGTTTAATTCTCCACAAATTATTTTAAGAACCATCACCAATGATGATAATATCATCTACAAATTAGAGAAGTTGAATGTGTGTGTCCACATTGAATTGAAATCCTTAGAATTCTCCTAATGCCACAACATTAAAAAAAAGGAATAAAGATAATGGGTTTCCTTGACGTAATCTTTTAGAGACTTGAAAAATTTTAGTGGGACTACCATTCGCAAGAATTAACAATGAGCTATTGAAGATAACAACTTCCATTCAAATTAACCACTTAAAACCAAACCTCATTCTCCTCATCAAATACTTAAGATAATTCCATCATACATAGTCATAGGGTTTCTCTAAATCAATCTTCACCATCATACAATCCTTCTTATGTCTCTTATCATAGTCCAGTAGTTGTTTAATGACCAAAACACCATCAAACATATGTCTCTTATAAAGGAAAGTTGATTAGCATTTGGAAATCAAATTATCCATTGCCTTCTTAAATCTAGAAGCTAATAACTTGGATAAAATTATATAGAGACTCCTAACCATAAAATGGACATATATTCCTCAAGATTATGAGGATGACCCAATTTAGGAATCAAGAAAATAAGCACTCACAGTTTTTAGTAGAAAAGACTTGTAAAGAATTCATTAACAAAAATAACCAAGTTTCTCTCCATGATGTCCAAGCACACTTTGAAAAACCAATATTGTAGCCATCCGGTCCAAGACTTTTCTCCCTATCATTAGACCAAACCATGTCCTTAATTTCATCATACAAAAGGGAACTTCTAAGACCTTTCTATCATCTCCAGTAAAATAATTGAATTTCACTCATCCAACCTAGCTCTACTAAAATTTGATTCTTGAAATCTCCTCTCAAAATATTTCTTAAACTCTAGATTGATTTCATCCACTAAATCAATCCAACATTTATCTAAGATAAACCTCAACAAGTTATTTCTTTTGTATCTCTATTTCATCACTTTGTGGAAAAAAAATTGAAATTAGAATCCCCTTCTACAATCCATTTGTGACTGGCCTTTTGACTCAGAATACTCTCATTTACTTGTAAAGATTTTCACACTTTACTGGTATCTAAAGACCTACTCAAAGCCAAAGTCTCTATGACCTACACCACATTATTAAAAACCAAAACATTTAAAGCAGGAAGCTCCTTAATTAACTGCAGAGTCTACATCCATGTCAAGAATATCAAATACATCATTGTGAGACTTTTTAAAACTCTCAAGTTTTTTTATCACCATGTTTTATACCAATAGATTATTAGCATTTTCCTCTAACACTTTTAATTTGATATAATACTCTTAACATAATATTTTTTTTTGGCAAAAATAGTGTCTGAGTCCTTTAAGTTATTTTATCATTACAAGTTAGTTTTTTAAGTTTTTTTTCTACAATTTAATCCTTTATGTTAAGTAACAGCGATGATGTGTTATTTTATTTTATTTTATATTTATTTTTTAATTACACGTGAATTTTAATTTATTTTAGTTTTTTTTTTAATTTTTTATTTTTTTTTTCGTATTTTTATTTATATTTTTAATATATTTAAGGCAAAACTACTGTCTAGTTCCTTTAAGTTATTTAAAAATATCAAGTTAGTCCCTTAAATTTTTTTTGTAACACTTTGGTCCTTTTTTAAAAATCTCTGTTATAATAAATTACAAACTCATATACTATTTGAACTGATTTTTCGCGCTGATCACGAATATATAATTAGTTGTGTTTGATTGTATATTTTGGTCAGATCGATGATTTTTTCTTATGTATTTCGTTTTTTACCTGATTCTCATGAACGGTAACTTGTTTGATATATTTGATTGAATATTCGTGATCAGCGTAAAAAATCAGTTCAAATGGTATATGAGTTTACAATTTATTATAACAGAGATTTTTAAAAAGGGACCAAAGCGTTACAAAAAAAACTTAAGGGATTAATTTGATATTTTAAAATAACTTAAAGGACTAATTTGATATTTTAAAATAACTTAAAGGACTAAACAATAGTTTTGCCTATATTTAAATTCCGATTTTTATTATTTTATTATTTTGTTTTCTTTTATTTGTTTTTATTATTTAGTTTAATTACATGAGCATGACATCTACAATACAATCTTCCATGAGCATGAGCCAAACATTTAACATTTTTATTAGAATTTAATAATTTGAACCATTCAATGACATAACATGATGAGCGGGAACTAGTATTATTTTATAATCTTGTATGCATACCTTGACACCAGCCCCCTGTGAAATGAAACAAGTCGTGTTATTGGTTACAACTAAATTATGAATTTGATCCTTCATATCTTGTATCTGTTCACAATGAATTGCTTCCTTTCCAATAGACCATATATGTTATTCAATAAAACAAAACCATAGTTAGTAGACTTCCTGATATCGAGATTAGAAATGCCATTGTTTTGACCTTTGCAGTTCGGTCAACTAAATTATTTTTTTAACACACTTAGCTCATGCTAGCACCAAATTTAAATAAGCTATAATAGATAAAACTAAAAATCATATATATATATATATATATATATATATATATATATATATATATATATATATATATATATATATATATATATATATATATATATATATATATATATATATATATATATATATATATATATATATCGGAATTTAAGTATAGTAAAAACAAATTTAAAAAAACATTAAAAGAATACGAAAATAATAATAATAATAATAATATAGAAAAAAAATTAAAATTCATGTATAATTAAAAAATGAATAAAAATAAAATAAAATGGCACATCATCGTTGTTAAATGACACATCATCTTCTTTTGTGACACATAAGCATTTTTGAAACAGAGTTTGTGAAAAAGGTCAACGATGTAGATATTACTTAACATAAAGGATTAAATTATAGCAAAAAAAACTTAAAGAACTATTTTATAATAAAAAAATAACTTAAAGGACCCAGACAATATTTTTGTCTAAATATTCAACATATGTTCAAGTTGTCGTTTCTACTTTTTGAGTATTTTTTAAAACTTTTTATTAAAAATTGTTTATTTAAAAATATCAACAACTTTTTTACATTAACACATAAATATAAATAAATCTAACCGCCCCAAATTAAATTCTAGACCAACAATTTATAATTATTTAATTCAACTAGAACATATTAATTGAACTACTTCGCCTACCCAAGTATTTTTTTAGTTGATATTGTGTCATGTTATTTTTATATTATTAATATTTTTTTTGTTTTATAAGTAGAATTATTTTCATCAATTATTTAATTAAACTAGTATTTAATGCATTTTCACCGATACTTTTGATAATTAGAAAATAATATTATTCTTTTGAGAAATAAATAATCAATTTTTGACATTGACTTATTCAATATCATACACTAAATGTGATAAAGATGATACAAAATACTTGATTGTAATTTTGATGAATTTCAAGTTGAATATATTAACGAATCCTCATATCATTAATGTTCTTGCTGAACTCGATAGGCTTTGTTAGATTTACTTTGATCCACCAACTCCCAATTACGAGGTCTGGTTTAAGTCATGTGTTTGAAAATATTGCTTCAATGTCCCATATTTTTAAGTCATAGCTTGTGACCCTCTTAGGTTTACTCTAATTCATCATCTTATGTTCATTTGAGATAAATGTAGCAGTTATAAAAACATTTCTTATGAATTTATGTAAGATCGTCAGAGAAAAACATGAAATTAAAATCACTTTATTAATTTTTAGGTAATACTTAATTTTTTATTAAAAGATTTAACACTTACATTAATTTTAGAATTTATTTATCATGTATTATATTTAGTGTTTTTATAAAATTAAAATCTATAGAATATTTTTAAATCTTTAAATTTTCATAAAATACTGTAAAATCTTAAAAATCTGTATTAAAAATCCTTTGAAATTCAAATTGAGAAAAAAACTTAATTTTTTTTAAATCTGAAAAAATCAATATAATCATACAAAATTATTTAAAATATATCAAAACAGTCTTTTAAATTTTCAATCAAATACATTCAATTAGTTTTGTTTTAGACTCAACCAAAATTAATCTCTATTGAATTAGACAACAAACTAAACAAGTTTATATCAGAATAAGTTTTTCTGATTTACACTATTATATATTTTTGTCATTTTATATAATTAGTCATTTGCTACAATAAACTATTATAAGCCATATTCATCCATTATCTTCAAAAGGTGACAATCTACGAGGATTCATTCCGACAAAGATCGTCTACAAATTTGACCAAAAATAGATCGTCTACAAATCAAAGACTCCTAGCTAGTGCTGGCCCACAAGACTTATTAAATTTAAATATTGACCCATATTATAAATTGTAATGACATTGATAAGTGATTGTACATGCTTATTAGGATATTTTTCTGACACTAATATCATATCAAATTTAATTTTATTAAATATTAATGTTTCAAAAATAGGCTCTATTAACCCTCCTATTTTATTCAAATATAAATATATAATGAGAGAATTATTATAATAAATAATATTGCAGTACATTTAATGAATATTCTAATCTATAAAAAGAACATTTTAAGTAATTTTTATAAAAATAAAAAAATATTTAAAGTATAACAATTGTTTTTTAAGATAAGATCCTAAACTAATATACCTTTCACATGTACATGTATATTCCTTGAGTTTGGTCAAAATGTTAGATTACACTTACTTTTTGTGCAATATGCGGAAAACAATAGTATGAACTTTTTAAGAAAATATTCTCTTCCCTCTTTTATATTCACACTAGTGTAATTATCCATATATGCCTTTAATCAAAATCACAATAGCATATATGCTTGTCATAATGTGAACATTAAACCATACAGAATCATTTCCCTATTTATATACCCTCAACCCGCACCACATTCTCATCACCAAATCCTTATCCATTTCACCAAACACACCATCTTTCACTCTCACTCCCACTCAATTACTACAATGAATCCACCACCAGGAACCATCGTTTTCAACACCGTTGGAAGGACCCAATACGGTTTTGATGTTTTCTACACAGACCTCAACGATCATTCTAAAGATAACCTTCTCACTGATGGCATCTCAGTTAACTTCAACGCCCAATTCACTGACGACAAAGAAACCATTGTATTCGTCTCAGAAAGAACCGGTTCGCCCCGTTTTTATCTTTCCCGACCCGGAAATAAACCCGAACTTCTCCCTTCTGTTCCTAACACACCCTTCCAAGACCGGCCAACAATTAAAAACGGTAAAATCTACTTCTCCTCAACGCACGTTCAACCAAACGCGCTTTTCAAAAGCTGGTCTGCTGTTTACTCTACTGCCGTCGACGGCACCGGAACTCTCACGAGGCTTACACCTCAAGGTGTTATTGATTACAGTCCTGCCGTTTCTCTGACCGGAAACTTAATCGCAGTTGCTTCATACGGTTCTCGTCGCTGGGATGGCGATTTTCGTGAGCTTCAAACAGACATCGTCGTGTTCGAGGAGTCCGTCCCGGAGAATCGTGTTGTGGTAAGCGAACGCGGTGGTTGGCCGACGTGGTTAGGAGATTCAACTTTGTTCTTCCACAGAATCGCCGATGACGGTTGGTGGAGCATCTTTCGAATCGACTTACAGGACTCGAATTTAACCGGATCTCAACCGGAACCGATTCGCATTACACCACCTGGTGTTCACTGTTTCACTCCTGCCGCATTGCAAAACGGTAACCGTGTCGCCGTCGCAACTCGCCGGAACGAAAGTGATTACCGTCACATCGAGGTTTACGATCTCGAGACACAAACATTTCAAAAAATAACAGAGGCAATAAACCCTAACTTCCATCACTACAATCCATTCGTTTCTCCTGATTCTCGCTACCTCGGTTACCACCGATTTAGAGGCGAGTCAACTCAGGGCGTTCAGGGCGTTCAGGGCGTTCAGGGCGAGTCAACATACCCACACCTCGACCCTGTGATATCTCTGGTTGATAACATACGGTTACTAAGACTAAACGGTGCGTTTCCAAGCTTCTCCCCGGACGGTGATTTCATCGCATTCAACCACGATAACGTAGCCACAGACGGTGGCGTTAACATCATAAGATCCAACGGTTCAAAACGCTGGGGTTTATTAAAAGGAAGAGTATGCTTCGGTAACGCATGGAGTCCGACGGAGAAGAACGTTATATACACGTCAATCGGTCCAATTTTCGAATCAGTTACAAAAACGGTTCAAATCGGACGTATCGAGTTCGACCCGGTTCACCTCACTGACGACCGCGAAGAGATTCCGTTTACGTTAACGATTCTGACTAAATACGATTCTGGAAACAACGCGTTTCCGTCGTGTTCACCGGATGGAAAATTTGTGGTGTTTCGATCTGGTAGGTCAGGGTTTAAAAATTTGTATATAGTTGATGCGGTTAACGGAGAGGCTAACGGTGGGTTGAGGAGGTTAACGGAAGGGGAATGGATTGATACGATGCCAAGTTGGTCACCGAAAGGTGATTTGATAGCGTTTTCATCGAACAGGCATGATGCTGGAAACAGTGAGGTGTTTGGGATTTATGTGGTGAATGTTGATGGGAGTGGTTTGAGGAGAGTTGAGATTGGGAAAAGTGTGGATGGTGAAAGGGAAAGGTTAAATCATGTTTGTTTTAGTAGTGATGGTGAGTGGCTGTTGTTTACGGGGAATTTGGGTGGTGTATCGGCGGAGCCGGTGGGGTTGCCGAATCAGTTTCAGCCGTACGGGGACTTGTTTGTGGTGAAGTTGGATGGGAGTGGGTTGAGGAGACTGACGTGTAACGCTTATGAGAATGGTACGCCTACGTGGTATCACGGGGAGTTACTGTTGTCGTCTAGTGATGGTGATTGGGATAAGTTGAAAGGGAAATTTAAAGAACCTCTATGGATCACGTGTGACAATTAAGAAGTGTGATGCTAGTGTTTGATTACCATTAATATAATAAGTTGAAATATTACAACAAAAATAATGAGTTGGAAATAAATTACTACTAGTACTAATAGTGTTTGTAATCTGCTGTTAAGGTTTGCATTTATTGAACTGAATGTGTAATATTATAGAGAAATGATTGGATGACACCCAAAATTACATCTTACACCGTATTTCCATACCATTACATGTACTTTTTGTTTTTTTAATATTCTTTTCTTGCCTTGATTTGTGTGCCATTTTTACCGTGCTTTGAAAAAGTTATGGTGTACAAATTCGGTGTGGGTAATTTAGTGTCAACATAGCAAAGCTCAATATTATATGGCAGTCTTGTAAAGAATGATAGGGAACTTATCAAATAGGGACACGAGGCTGATATTTTGATTTGTAAGAAAATGGAATAAGTCATTTGTACCACAAATATTAGCATCTCGTATTGGATAAAAAAATTCTCTTATAATAATAGTTTATATTTTAAATTATTAAATGTATTTACTTTTCGTTTTTAAGTAATACTTTTAAATATTTTGAAACATAACAAATTAAAATTAACTAAATAACCACAAATATAATCTTTTATTGGATAAAAAACTCTCTTAAAATAATAATTTATATTTAACTATTAAATATATTTATTGTTCATTTTAATTAAAGCATTCAAATATTTTGAAACATAACAATTTAAAATTAACTAAATAAATACATTAATGATTTTTAAATATAATTGTACTTTTTAAAAGTACAATGAATGACAACCTTTAGTGGTGTATGGATATCTAAGAATTTTATATTCTTAAAGATTGTTGTTAGGGTATAATAAACTCATACATGGATGATGAGAAGCTTTGAATTTGTGATTTTTCAGCGAATTGAATGTCGCATCTCAACTTTATGCTTGAGGTATTGTCGTGGCATGAAAATTTTTAGATTAAGGCGTGAAAAATTTTAGATTAAATTATTTATTATTTTAATTCGAAAAGTAAGAGTTGCCACCAAACTGTATAAAAATTGAATAAAACCCACAAAAGTTAAAAAGATAAAAAAAAGATTTGAATATGGGGGTTGGTTATGCAAGCGGAAGATATTAGAACCCTTCACATCTATTGTATTCAACGGGAACCACTTGCTTATCTATGTTAAAAAAGGTTATTACTGTTCGTTGATTGATTTTAAGTGAAAAGATATTTGGTGCATTCGAGTGGAAAACTCAACTTACTACCCACAAGTATGATGAGATGAGAATTTGCATCATCTTGATATGGAGAACTTTTACTTAGATTTCATCAACAAGTACATCTCAACATTCAAGTAGAAAATGTCATTCATTTCTCAGAATCTGGTCGAAGTATAGCGGTTTGCATCACTGCAAGAAATAGACCAATATCTAATCTTTCTGAAAATAAGCTCTTAAAAAAAAGTGCACAAAGACACAAAAATAGTTTGATGATGTTAATGTTTTTTAGAATTTTGAAATGAGTTTAAATATGCTTAGATGTCTTAGCATTTATTGAGAAAAATATTTTTTTGGATCACTTAACAAAGTCAAGGTTTATTAAGAAAGATGTGAAGTTTGAAAACAAGAAGATTTTAAAATAGGAAGAAGATTTTAAAAATTTAAGAATGGAAGGAGATGAAGAGACTATCCTAAAGCATAACATAAATGGTCTCATTGTCAAGTAACCCAAGAGAAAGCCTTTGTGTGTGCAACTGAACTAACTAGGATAAGCAAGCATTTGACATCAGTCAAAACTAGCATTTCATTCCCTTTGGAGTAAGCCACAAGATAAGCAACTGAGCAGATGAACACAAGAGGATCCAGATAAATAAAGTCATAGAAAAACATCCAGGTCTTGATTTAATGGCCACAGGTAGCAGATGAACTCAAGGTCTCAGGCAGATGCAAGGTATCAGATGAGCTTCTAAGTTTCAGATAAGAATACTCAAAGCAAAGGGAACCATAATTCTATATCCATAGGTCTAAAACTCCTCAATGTACATGATAGTATCCATAGTCCAAGATTAAATGTTTTTTAGGGTTTTAATTATTTTATCATATTTTTGTATTTTTTTAACAAGATGAAGAAATAAAGATCAAAGAAGAAAGAAAATGACATGAAATAAATGCGGAAATGATAAAGAGCGGTAAAGTAAATAGCAGAAATTAAATGACAAGAAGTAAATTGCGGAAATGTAAAGGTAGAAAGGTAAACGTTAGATGTTAGGAGTTAATTGTTAGTGGTTAACGATCAAGTAATCAATTTATCGAGTCGGGACTAATTTAGCGCTATATTAAACAATCATAAGTATATTTATATAGAAGTCGCACGTATCTGAGGCCGATCAATAACAATGTTCGTGTTAAAACTTGCTAGAGAAGTGATATGTAAATCATTCTTCTAAATCTATATCACACAAAAAGAAAAAAAAGAATGGTTTCATCTTAATCAAGAACTTTCATGATTAATCAAAGTACCTATCACTATCTCAAAGTATAGAGAATAATTCAAATGATCATTAATCAATAGATTTGAAATAATGAAGATTCAATCTCCTTGAAAATTAACATTCCATGATTCTTAATATTTTTATCAACCAAAATAAAATAAAATAAATGAAAAAGGATATGAAAAACAGATAATAGAAAATCATAAATTAAATAGTATAAATCTAGGAAAAAATAAAAATAATAAAAGATGAAAATTATTGTTGAGGTTTCTGTAGTTTGTATTGTATTGTTGAGGTTTCTGTAGGTTATTGAATTTGAAGTGTTGTTGCTTTGTTGTGATGTAGAATTGTTTCTCTGAATTGTTAATAATGCATAGCTTGAAAAGTATGGACGACTAAAGGTTTGAAAATTGAAGATTATTGTGGTTGAAGGTTTGGAAGAGTTTATGAGGAAGCTTGAGAAAATTTTGCAGAGTTTTCTTGGCTTGTTCAAGCTTGAAAAGTGAGAGGAGGCTCCTATTTATAGAATTTGAAGTGAGTTATGATGAATTAAATTTGTGAAGGTTGCTGCCGTTTTTGCTCGTGTTCTGCGTTTTGCTTGAAGTCGTTTTTTGTATGCTGCATGTCGTTTTGTGTTGGATATGGTTTCAATCTTTGCAGGTCACGTTTGATTATTCGTGAAGTGGCTTGTTTGTAGCAGCGACTTGGTCAGCTCGTTTCATGTGCCTTTGGAGTGTAGTTTGCAGTGGTTTCCATGAGCTTATAGAACGTGTATTGTAGCTTCCATGGGCTTATCATTTCCTGTTTTTTTGTTTTTGTTTTTATTGTAAGATAATTGTATGGAATGAGCCTATTCTTTTTCTTGTAACTTCATGTTGTCATACCCTAATTTTTACTCTTAAGTTCTCACCTCATTTACATCTTTACAATGCATCAAGATCGCAAACTTGGTTGTCTCTTAACCCTCTCATCTTTGGGTTTGCCTTTGCAGAGATCACCAATCACCTCTTGTGTATTTTCGTTACATATTTTTGTACTTATATGCTTTATATTTCACTAACTTCTAATTAAAATACAAAAATATATGCCTTGTCCCTTTGTTTCTTTTGCAAGGTAGGGTTTGGAATCAAGAGCATCAAGTGATTGCATTCTCAGCTACGATTTGAATTCCTCAAGTCAAAGTATGGTCAACTATTGATTTTCAAAGGCTATTCATAAAAGCATGACCTCTAATCTCAAAGTATAAAATCTCAAGCATCATTCAACTTCATTTTATCAAAGATATCTCAAGATTGGATGACTTGTTTCTCAAGAATTTTCAAAGGTCACATGTTTATTTCCATGCCTTCATCAATAAGTTTCCTAAATCCATTGCAAGTCTAATAAAAGGACAATCAAGATTAAATTATTTTGAGTTCATATTGTCATACCCTAAATTTGCCCGTCAACTTTTGTAAATATTTTTACTTTTTTTATTTAATTTCGTGCCGTTTAGACACGTGTCCACCCTCCGATTGAGCGTTTTTCAAATATAGACTTTTTTGCCCAATAGGAGCGCGACACGTGGCCAAAGGGTATTTTTGTAGATTTTAAGTCCTTTTTAATCTCTCATTTTTCTTTCAAAATATTAATTTCCCGTATATATTTTGTTTTAACTTTTATTTTAATTAGGTGTAAAATATATTTTTTTTTAGAAATTAAATAGGTTTTTATTTTTATTATTTAGACTTAGAAGTAGTTTAATTAAGCTTTTAATAGAAAATAGGATTTTATTATTTTGTTACATAGAAATAGAGTTCTTTTTAGATATTTGTTTACTTTTAGAATATAGATTTTTAATTATTTAATTTTAAAATTGTTTTCTTTTTATTTAGATAATCAATTAATTTTTATTTATTCATTATATTTTTAGAATTAGAATAGTTATTTATTTTCCATTTAAATAGTTTGTGATTTTAATAGATTTTTTAAATAGTTTTTTATATAATTGTTTAGAATAGGGTTTAAGTTTTAAATAGATTATTAATTAGTTTTTTCGTTAGAATTTTGATAGTTTAAATTTAGATTTTAATTAATTTTTAGAATATTTTATTTTTTAGAAGATAGTTTTTAGATAGTTTTATTTTATAGGTTTGTTAATTTGTTAATCTTTTTATTATTTTCTTTGTTAATATTAATAGTTTAGAAATAGGTTTATTCATTTTTAATATTATTAAGATTTTATTTTTAGTATTAGGATTAATTTGTTTTTTATTAATTAACAGTCAGATTTATTTTAGATTATTTTCTTTTGATTATTTATTTACTTATTAGAATATTATTTTTAGTGTAAGATATTATTATTAGTTTAATTAGGATTTATGGTATTTATTAGTTTAATTATGATTTATGATATTTGTTAGTATTATTAAATTATGATTTATGGTATTTATTAGTATTATTAAATTAAGATTTATGGTAATTATTAGTATTATTAAATTAGGAATTATTTATTTCATTATTAATAGTCAGATTTGGTTTAGTTAATTTTT